AAGGGCAAGAGCCCAGCATTTTGATTGCACTTAAGACACACACAAATGCTGAAGCAGTGTCAAAAGCAGTGGTGTTACTCTGGTTTTAAATCTGCTATGTGGGCATAAGTGTATCTGAGTCCTAACAGATATGTGTATATTCTCCTTTGGTAAAAAAAAAAAAGAAAAATTACTTACTGTTTTCCATCCCATTTATTGTAACATGATTTATAATATTTGAAGGTGATCTGTGTCTATCAGAAGTTACCATTTTGCCTCTTTTTGTTTGCCTTTTTAATGTCACAGACTCTGAATGAGCACAGTCTTTTGCATAGCTGTAGAGTCTAAAGTTATCAGAAATAATTATTAAAAGAACACTTTGAGATTTCTCATTAATTTTGCTTTAATGCTTTCTGACAAAAATGGAGTAGATCTGGATGTCCCTTTGCTTTTAAATAATTTTGGTTTTCTTCCTCTAAGCAAGAGAAACTTCTCAATGTGATCAGAGAAACCGTGTTAAGGTATTTTCATCTCTGCCAGTAGAGGCTTTCAGCATGGAATGCCAAAAATAACCACTGCAGTCAAGTTGTTTAAAATATACACTTTGTTGCTGATTGCACTTTCAAATCCTCAGTAAAAATACTGTTGGCTAGAAATGTATGTAAACATCTGGCATAAACAGCACCTTTAAGTTAATTTGTGATGGCACAGCAGTCCAACAGGGATAGAAACATTGAATGAACTTGCACATAGTCCAAGAGGCATACGGGGTCAAGAAGGAAGGGAGGATAGGTAGACGGAAATTACCTTATCCTGGATTAGCTCTGCCAGTGCACGCCCAATACCATGGATATTGCAAGCAGCTGCCCTCTATACAACGTACTGCCCCTGCTTGATCACATCCCAGACACAGCTGGCCAGAAGAGAGCTCATGTTTGCCAGCAGGCTGCAGTCAGCCGATTCAAACAACCTCTGTCTGTTCCTCTAGCTCTCAGCTAAACTGCAAACTAGCATTCCTCTTCCTCCAGATTAACCAAGAAGATACTGTTGCATACATAATGTGGCATAGAGAGAGAGCCACAAGAAAAAGATTAGCCTCAAAAAATTGCAAATCAAAGAATGGGCAAAAAGAAGAGACATGAATACAGACAGGCATAGTGTTGAGCAAGAAATGATTTTTCAGCATGACTGCATCGAAAAGGTGGGAGGTTTAAGAATGGAGAATTGACGTAAAATTTCAATTTGTTTGTTTTGCATCAAAAGTAAAAGCTAAAATGTTATTGCATATTGAAGGAAATGAAACGTTGCTTCCATTTGATGCAAAGCAGAACGGTTTGCTTCATGTATTTTTTCACAAAAAGAAATTAATAGTTAAGTTATAAAACTGGAAAAGGAGAAAGAATGCCTGAGGATGGTTGTTGCTTGGGGCGCTTTTTAAATGTAATTCCTTGGAAGTTTAGGATTCTTATGACTTGGGGTATGTGAATTCAATTCCCTCCTCTGTCTGGTGGGACTGAACCCACAATTCCCATTTTCCAGCCTAGTTCCCAAACTGTCAAGCTCCAATAAGGGAATATGGACCAGGCTGCTCTCCATCTTTCTCATTGGCATTCTTTGCAATTGGATAGAACAGCGATATTCCTGGGAGGAAAGGTGGGAATCCAGGCAGACCCTTTTCTCAGGGACTGTTCTTGCCACTAGGCCACAAGACTATTCCCTCTCTATCTCTGAACAACACAAGGATTTTATTCGAAGTGTGCAATGTGAAGGACCAAGGATCCTTGCACCTGTAGTGGCCTCTGCTCTGTACTCATTTGGGAGATGGACAATTCCTGTTGTGATCTTTGCCAGACTTCAGGGACTGCGGGTATAAACTTGCGGTTCCCACGCTGGCAGGAGGTTTTAATGGGAATTCTGTTGGATATGCTGTGGTGGGTCTCCCTCAGTTGCTTTTCTTGTTGTTCCATTTTAAGCGAAATACTTAAGTGATTACTGAGAGTGGCATGACTGTTCAGCACTGCGACACTCACACCAGAGGTGGTATATTTCAATTCTAGTTACTGTGACTGAAAACTCCAGTCTACTCCATTTTAAGAAGCTAGCATTAAAGCAGAGTCACTGAGGTCAGTGGGAAATTATATGAGCTTAGCCCTATTGGATTAGATAGAACCTCAGTTTAGATTTAGGTACGTGTTTTTAAAATCCTGTTAACCATTATCTTAGTTTTACTGTATATTGCAATTTACTACCCTGGCTCTTTTATAAACTCTCTTATCTAGAAGGAAAATTCTGCTAAAACCAATGTGAGGAAGTTCCTTCTGATTAGTAGGAGTCAGTATTTAAATTAATGTAGTCAGTATTTAAATTACTGTAACATTTCAAAACATTTAAGTCCTCTGAAATGATGAGTATGATATAACTGAATAATGGTATATTGGATTTCCCCTGTATCTGCCAGTATGTATATACAGATAAAGAACCTAGTCCAAATTACCTGTGTATAAAGACAGTAAATTGAATTCAGTAGGATCAGAATTGTATTATTCAGCATCCAGCTATGTGACTGCAAAGGATTAAACGGAACAGGGGCAAATGAGAGGCATTGTTAATGGCGCTAGCCAGCTTAATATTTAAAAACTGGTTTGTCTTAATAGAAATTAAATCCATCATGTGACAAGGAAATTTAATCTGATCTATTAATTCATGTAAACTTCAAAATCCTGTCATGAACAATGTTTGCTTTAATGTATGTTTAGTATTTTTTCACCAGAGGACATTTTAATTGCTAAAAGCCATTTTGCACTGTATGCTTGGAAGTGAAAGTGACATCTCCAACGTTTCCTTCCTAGTTGAGAGCAGAGCACCGCAGGGCCATAACAGCCATGTATTTTTTGTTTCAGAGAAGAAAAAAAAAAAAGGTTTCCTGTTTTATTTTTAAACATTCTTCTGCTCTAGGAGGGCTAGTACTTGAAATAATAGATTTCAAGACTTATATGGTTCTATTCTTGCTCTTTGGTCTCTGCTTCCTCCACTTAGAAAGTGAAGGGGAAGGAAAAGAGAAATGCTCTTTATAGACTTGAAAATATACGTCTGTATTAGTAGATTGCTCATTTCTTCATGCCATATACATCACAGACATGAAGCATGTAGCTTTTAGGAAGAGGTGGAATTGGCTAACCACTGATACTAAAATTATGAATACAAATAGACTGGGGAAAAAGTAGTACATGCTTCTTTTTTTCTTTCTCTTTTTTTCTTCACTGCATGGATTAGGAGTAGGGCGTGAGACAGGAGCGTGGCTAAGATAAGGGGGGTCAGAAAGAAAAAGAAATGCAAATAACTGCAAATACAAATGTTATGTTGCCTTATGTCTTGGTTTGTTACTGCTCTTCTGTGTTCTGAAAGGCCCTCAAGACTAATTGGTTTCATTGTCATTTTATTTATATATACATATATACACATTCATTTGGGGCTTAACTAGTAACCTGTAACTATGGGAATGGAGGCTGCCAACACACCTGTGATGACACAGATACTGGTCCTGTGTGTGGTTGTCATCAGAAGTATGCCCTACATTCAGATGGCCGAACCTGCATTGGTAAGTACTTCTCTGCAGTGCATTTTATTTCGTATTCCTCATAGAATATATATGTGCACATATGTATGTGTGTGTGTATGCGCGCATGTGTTTGTATCTCACAAGCGTTTAGCACCATGGCTGAGAGAAGTGTATAACAGCAGTGCCTGCCCATAGTTGCTAAGGTCACGCTATACAGAGAGGGAAGCATTTGTGCGTGTTTTGTCAAAATGTTTGTTAATGAAGTATCCCTTTGTTACTCCTCTGTAACTTTTATTTCTTTCTATAACTCTAATAATTTTTGAAGTTAAAAGGTGTAGAACATTCATAATTATGAATGAAAGTTCAGCTCTTCCGTTCACTTTCATAAGTCAAGACTTCCTTACATAAGCAAGGTGAGGAAAATGATCCTCTTTTCTGAGCTGTTATTGGGGAAAATTAATCATCATTATATGCTTTCTTCCCTGTTGTACGTTTTATGATTCTAAAAATTACAGCACTTGTAGTGAATAAGCTTTCACTCAGATTATCAGTAGGAAAAGCTATTCAAGAGATGGAGCATCTTGGGAGATGCTATGCAAACATTTATGATTACAAAATATATTATTTGCTTAACACCATTTCTTTCCACTCTGCTTTTTTTTTAAATAAAAAGGATGTTTTTGCATACTGCAAGTTAATATTTGGAAATTCTTATTCACAAATACAGAACCTAAAATCCATAATGGTTTTCATTAGCATTGCGGTCATGTTGACTTTTTTTGGTTTTTTTTTATTTCGAATTCTTACAAATTCCTAGTAATTTCCTGAGGTTAAAAAGCATGGATGCATATTTATCATCTTTTCTCTCCTTTATCAATACTGCAAGACAGAGCACTTGAAACCCATGGAAATCTGTCAGTTATCTTTAGTGATCCCTTGGTCAGATCCATGGCATAAAACTTAGTGCCCAGAGCCTCACTCACTTCTGATGGGTTTGATTGCACAAATTGTGTGGTAGGGTGAGGGTTATGTTGGCAGAGGTAGAGCTGAACAAGGTTCAGTGCTGGACTCTCCCTCGCTGTATACACAAGCTATGTCTCAGCTTACGGGATCTCTCAACTAGTACTTTTCATTAAGTCAGAGGGCTCCGTCGTACAGTCCCTCTGTTTAAATAACCCTCCCTGAAGCCTGTGGCAGTTCCGGATGCAGAGAATTTGCAAGAGCGAGGGCCTTGAGAGCAGGTTTTATTGAATAGATAATTGATCTTCTATTTGTTAGCGTTCACTAATATGCTTGGATTGATGTTTTATTTTGTCCAGCATGTAAAAATGATTTTAAAAGCTGTGTACACTGCACCTGTTTTTTACTTTTTTTTTCCATTTTTGTAATGTAATACATACAACTCCATGTTACATTCCTTGGTCTTGTGATGTAAGTCACATATACTGCCTGTGCTGATTTTCTTCCGTCTAAGTAGTTCTTTCTCTTAGAATACTTTTAATTTTTTTATTTATTTTTTACATTTTTATTCCTGCTTTCTGGTGATGGTTCCTGATTGCCTGTCTTGTCTGATAACTGACGTTCATTAATTATTTACAGAGCAAAATAAAAAAAAACTCAAACAAAAGCCTCTATTGCAGCCTGATCCCATCTAGAACTTGTTAAAAACAAAGCAAAACAACTTCTTGTTACCACTCAACCATGTAGTGTTGCCACAAACAAAACCTGCCAGCCTCCTCCTCCTCCTCACATCAGTGATTCCAGTGTTTGCTGTCTTCAGTGCTGTATATATTCCAGGCATCACTGCAAGAATGCAAACTTTTGCAATGCCAGATAAATACTTGTTGACCCTTTGTCTAACATATTTTGTCTTTGTTTACTTGACTTATCCTTTTATTTTATTTTTTTATGTTTGCTGCATGTGAAAGGCCCCACTTGCATTTTGGTTTTTGTTTTCCTAATAAGCATTTCCCCCTCTGTATAAATCATTTTATTTACCCAGCTGCTGCTTCTCCATTGCTCTCCTGTATCAGAAATCTTTATTTTTATTTCACTTACGGATCATCTCTTCCCACACTTGTGACTGTTTCTGTGTATTTCTAATGAAGCATAACCAAACTAAAGTCCTCATTATGCTGTATGAAACTCTTACATGTAGGATATCAGAGACTACCTTGTAAAATTACCTTTGCTGATTTCATCTTGCTTACTGCATGCTTATAAAATTACTAAACCCTGTTTTTGCAACATCTTTCCTAGCATTGAATGTTTAGCTAGTAGTGTTTCATAGACAAGCAGGCAACCAGCACTGCCCAAATTGATCTTTTTTTGTGTTTGTTTGGTTTGTGATTTGTTTATTTTTGTTGTTGTTTTTGTTTAATTTGCATGCTGTTGTTTGGTTTCTCCTCACAATGTGTCAATGTGTACGAGACTATGGTGCATCCGTGCCCATCCATCACCGGACTCTTCTAGCTCGCTCTGTCTGTCTTGGTCTTCTGCCTGCCATCTTCAGATCCTGGTGCCACCATTAGCCTGAATCACTTTACAGTTTGTCATTAGTAGTTTGTTTAACTAGCATCCCTGAATTTTAATTTTCATCCTTAACACCTCTCTGGGGCACTCATGTTAGCTGTCTTGTTCTCCAGTAGGAATCCAGCTGCTTCCTGTACGTGGTTAATTACTTCATAGTTGACTATTCTTCCTCCTCCCCCTCTTTCTTCCTCCTTTCCCTAAACACCCTTTAATTTTTTCCTGGGGTCTCAAAGGGAATTAACTCTCTAACGGGGATTTAGTGCTTTCGTGCCTTGCTTCTTGGCTTTGGCTGTGCCATGCCAAGAAACTGTCTTAGGCAGCGGAAAATTGGGCTTGTGATTAACCAACTGCTCCATGTTTGTCCCTTACTTGTGTTTTAGAGAAGGATGAGGCTGCAATTGAGAGTTCTGAGTACAATGCCACGTCAGTAGCTGATGTGGACAAGCGGGTGAAACGGCGGCTACTTATGGGTAACACTTTTCTTCCACTTCCTTTGTTGTGCTCTCACTTTTGTCTGTATGTGTGTGGGGGGGAGGTTCTCTTTTGGTCTCATTTGGTCCCTTTGGTTTTGGTTTGGTTTGGTTTTTTAACCTGACTTCATCTGTGTGTAAAGGTCACCAATTTTGTTAAGTTCTCATCTGTTGTACGACTTCATTTCTTGTTTTTAAACTTTTTTTCCTAATGCTGCAGCTTTAATGTTCAATTTCTTCTGCATAGAAAGAAGCTTTTGCCATTAACCTTACTTACCTTATGCAAGCTACTTCTTACATGTGATTTGTGTGTGTTTGTGTGTATGTGTTGCTGTAGGATTCCTGAAAAATCTCATGTTGCAGACCTGCCTATTGACTTAAAAGTGGGTGATGATGATGATACACAACAATGTTCTATTACATATGTGGTGTTAAATGAACAACTATATTTGCCTACTTAAAATTTGCAGTACTTTTGATTGAGATGTAAATATTATGACTGGAAATTCATTTATTTCCTTTGTGCAGTTTGTTAGTAACCACTGAAAGATCTTTCCC